CTCTCTCTCTCTCTCTCTCTCTCTCTCTCTCTCTCTCTCCCCCTCCCCCCTTGTCTTCTCCCGTAACGCGAACGCAGCACGCGGTTAAAACTCGCGAATTACGAGCGACACGAATTCTCCCGTCCTCTCTCTCAAGTTTATTTAATTGTTTTTTGTATATTTTTTTATCGGGTCGCGTGTATTTTTCTTGTCGTGAAAACGCCTCGATACGACATGTAACAGTCCGCTGTAGAAAAACACTTGGGAAGAAATACTTGAAATTTTATTTGTGAGATACGCGAAGTTTATTTCTATGAATAAAATTTATATTCTGCAAATAGAGGAGCCCGCACAAAATATATGGGGGAGAAGAGGATTCCGCTATGAATTAGATTATGTTTGTTTGGGTGAAGGGACTGCAACTTTTGCATCGTCCCACGCGGTACTACGCTCAAGTTTCATTGATCTTTCACCTTTGATGAAACTTCCCAGTGGAATTTATCAGATCGTCGATCCGACCCAATTTTTCTTCCATTCGACTCGATTGCGCCTCGCGCAAGTAGATTTGCGTAAGCCTTGCATAAGGAGACTCTTCAGCCGACTCGGGAGACTCTTTTTTTCCTCAGCGCAGTTACCCGCCAACGTAAGTGTCGTGAATTGTGTCGCCCGATGCAACCGCGATCGACACGTTTCCGTGTCGGCAGGATCACGTTCTCTCGACGGAGAATGACATTTCGTAAACGTAGAATCTGTCCCTCGAGGCATTAACCGGTCGTTCACTCGCTCGCACCTACCAACCTACCTATCTACCTACCAGCTCTTGCGCCGGTGAAGCGTCTCAATTATTTTCGTTCTCCCCGTCGCCGTCCGCTGGCGGGACGCGTGATGCGCAACGACGATAGCACCTGGCCGCCTCACCGCCAAGGTACCATTTACGTTGCACAATAGCGGGAGTAATGGACTCGTCCTCCTTGCAAGAGGAAGAAGAGGAGGAGGAGGAGGACGACGGAAGGAAGGAAGAGAAGCACTGTGTGCGGCGGCAGTGCGACGCTCTCGCGAAGCCGCCGGCCGGATACACACGTTGTGTGTGTGTGTGTGTGTGTGTGTGTGTGTGTGTGTGTGTGTGTGTGTGTGTAAAGCATGCGCACGTATTACCGTATACCGTTGTACAAACGGTTGTGCCACGCAGCTTCCACGCATATATCGATGCGTGCAGGCGGAACGCGTCGGAGAGTGACGCGAGGTTCCGCGAGCTCTCGAAGCGAACACTCGGCGATGTCTGTACAAATAGCGTACCGATCTAATATATACCGTATGTCGTCCTGCCAGCGCACACACACACACAGACACAACTCTCCCCGTCGCCTCAAACGGTATCCCGACCGGCAGCTGAGAGCCGGCTGGGTTTTTCACGGCAGGGCGAACGCGAGGGGAATCAATTAACGCGTTAGGCAAACGTTAATAATGTAACAGTACCGATTGCTCGCTAATTAATTACTTAATATTCGGAGCGAACGGCCCCGGGGTGAAAACGACGGAGTCGCGAGAGGCCGCGTATCACCTCCGCCGTGCTTCGTTATTACCGGCGCGTGCGATATAGCGCGGCATACGGCACGGCACGCTACAAGTTGAGAGGGAGGCTGAAAGCTAAAATATTCCGTTCACGACGCCCATGATCATTTGCAGGAGGACTTGGTGGCACGACTGACGCGCGAGAAGGCTGAGCAACTGCGGACACTGTCGTCGCAGCTGCTGCTGTTCGAGTCGAGGCTCTGCAGGAAGCAGAAGGAGATCGAGGCCAGTCTGAGTCAGCGAGAGTCCATTATTCTGCGGCAACAAAGGGTGATTCGGCAATTGCAGAACAGACTGGCGGAGAGGACCACCGGCACCAGAGACTCGCCACCTTGCGACGCCTTGGACAGATTGGACAGTCTGGGTGATAGCGACAGCGCCGTGGTGCTCGAGGAGACCGCCGACGATCCGGCCCCGCCGAGGTGCGCGTCTTCAGAATAGAGCGGAGCTGTTTTGCAGGAGCTCCCTTTACGATTCCGAGTCGCGAGATCTCCCGATCGCAATCTCGTTCAATCCGGGCGTGAGACCTCCGTAGCTTCATTCAAGTCGATTGGAATCGACTTTCCCTCGCTCACGAGCTGCCGGGATCTTTACGGTCGTTCGGGGCATCTGTAATGAAACTGTTGGTGAAAAGCTCGTGAAGAGATTATTCACTCGTTTATGCATTAACTCATTCATTCCCCTACTTATATATTCACTCATAATATCACTTTTTATTTTGTGATATTATCAGTGTTTTTTTCCACGCACTTAATTTCTGCTCTCGCACTATTTCATTTAAATTCTAGAAAACTTGAAGAATTTTAAACTGAAAAGAATTCTTCTATTAATGAGTGATATTTATTTATTTTAAATAAGTTAATAATTATAGATAATTAATTATTACAAGTAATTAAATAATGAAATAATTATAAGAAAAGAAAAGTTCAGAAATTGCGAACAGTTCCCTAATGCTGGCTTGAATTTAGTGAATTATTTTCCTTTTTCTTACTGTACAAGTGGAATTACAACGTCTTCGGTTGTCGCAGGTTTCGGTCCAACATCACCGATGTGACTGTGATCCGCTCCGTGTCGGACGCGGTGGAGCCGTCGAACAAGTACTCGTCGATGAGACGGTGCAACGGTTTTCTTAGGAGACCGGAGATCCTGGAGACCGTGTATTCCGTGGAGGAGGACGGCGACAGCGAGAACAATCAGGATCCGTCCGAGTCGACGGAGAACTCGGAGTACGAGGATAGGAGAGCGAAGAACTTGGGTAACGGCAAGGGCAGACTTCAAGATCTCTACGGCAGTTTCGAGAGGCTCGCACAGGAGACGGATTCCCCGCCCAACGAGCGACCCCGAGACGAGAGCCAGCAGGCACAGGTGAGCAACGAGCGACGAATCGAGAACTCGTCGGCCCACATGAATTAGATTTGTGACCGAAGCGGAGCTCCGCTTAATTAAGCCGTTAATTACATCGTTTGAGTACCGTCAAGGGGCGCGCGACCGCGCTCTTTACGCGCGAGAAACGAGCGCCTCCTCTTCTTGTCCCGTGATCCGACATTGTTGTCGCGCGACTAAATTTATTTTCCGTTAGCATCAGCTGTAGTCACTCTACGTGACACTCGATCGTGCATTTCTGGGCATTCAAACGGTTAAAAACCGACGCCAGCCAGCCGGCCAGCGTCTAAATTGACGTTTTCGTAAAACCTCAACTCACTTGTGCTTTCAGGTGACGTACAATAGGGTAATGAGTAACCACAGATCCGTGACGAAGCCAAAAGACGTCAAGTACAAGAGGATAAACAAGGCGAAGTCGAAGAGTCTCGAGGAGCTTCGGGGGCGTCTGAGAAATTGGGTCGAGAAAGGGAATAAGATAGCTATATCGTTGGATCAGTCGTACGCCTGAGCTTACATTTCCTGAAAGTATATAAATTATTGCTTTACGAAGAAGAGCAGAGAAAAAAATGACTGTTCACGAGTAGGTTGCGCCGCTTAAAAGAAGAACCTCAATTCTATTAGCGGGATCCGCGATCGAGAGATGGACCTTTATGTTTAGCGAAGTCGCTGTACGACGTATTTAATTGAAATATCATTGCTCCATGTGATATTTACTGTAGTGTCTCTCCACCTTAATTGCGCACTTAGGTCAGAGACGAGCGATTCGAGACTTGTGATATGATTTTACTGTATATACAAGGGGCGTAGTTAGGAAGAATTTATTATCAGAATGAGAGAATAAAAAAAAATATATATATATATATATACATATATCAACGCGCGTAATGACTCGAAGAAGCGTACGTCCGTGTGCGTTGTATTCTAACGCGTGGATTTTCGAGGAAACCACTTTCGACACTTTCTTATCTCTATCATTTACAGCAAACTTGTGTTGTTACGTGCATTCTGCGGTGATGTGAGATAATTTCGTGTAGCCTAAATTCATGGACGATACGTTAACTCAAGTTTAACGTTCAAAAAAGATAGGAAAGTTCAGAAGAGAGATAGCGTCCCACTTTTCTCCACGCGTACCTAATATGCCGAAATAAAGCACGGTTTTACAAAATAGTATTGGATGTTATTTCTTAATTATTATTATATTGTATCAATTGAGAGATTCAGCACGGGCTTTGTGCCACTAACGATTTGAAGTATTCGAGTCGTTTTTTATTTACAAAATTTATTTCGGAAGTCGTGCATATGTTGCTTTCTGTATTAAAGAGAGGCTGATATGCGATCGAAATCTCTGACTCGATAGAGAAAGATTACGAAACGAGGGACTGTATACCGACGAGTCGAATGCTCATGTTGATCCATACAATCAAGTGTTATTTTTGGGCTTATCTTTCTATAAACTATATTAAGGCCGTTGTTATTACTACGGCATAAATTTCTATCCCTTGATGTTCTACTGAAGAAACCTCAGAGAGAAACACGATAATCGGATTGCGCGGAGCGGAAAGGCTCGATATTTTTACTAAAACTTGTTTGTATAAAGAAGTTTCTATCCAGTTCTATCCAGCTTCACATCGACCCAGAAGGCGTGTACTTGCAACTGAGATGCGAACGCCCGATTCTATCGGAAGTTATATAATTGTATCGCTTTACTCCAGAACAATCTTAATAGAACGTGTGAAAACGTTAAAAATTACAGCAAACACGCGCAACTTAAAAGCGTGAATATTTCATGTATCCATATTGAACCGAAATTTTGTAAAACGTTCGGATACACTTGTACTGTATAAAGATCAAAGATTACGTTTAATTTTATATTGAATGTAAATTTGGATGCGCCAAGAGTATACACCAGACACACAACACAGGCACGATGTATGGCAGCGCGTTTTATAAGAAATATAAATTTTCATGATCGCACTCTTTATAATGCTGTTACACGCACGCGTTTTACCATTCCTCTTGTATAAAATAAGAAAGTACGATCATACGCATCTTCGATGCGAACTGCTCTTGCGATGCTCTGTGCATTTCTCCCTGTTACGGACGCATCGTTCTTAACTATTTGATTATCGTGCTCTCGAGCAGACGGGTATATAAAGAAAGCTACCGACAATCTGTATTTTTGCAAGACAACTGAAGAGAAGCGGATGGGAGAGCGAATGTCTCTCTAGCAGTACCTTTGTAAATAACCGTTACATGGACGTAATGTTCAATTAAGAATTATAGGATTCTACAAGCGCTATTATGTAGATAGATCTATTATTGAAATAATAAATTGTAATAATATTAAATTGAGTTTTATGTTCCTGTGGACTGACTAACGAGCAGTCATCGAGAGATCTCGTGCATAATATATTTGTGTGTGTGCACGCGCTTACGAATGCATATGCGTATGAAAGAATATGGATATGCATGCATGTATAAATATATAAAGTATAAACGTAACTAATGTAATCGAGTTTACTAGTGATGCGGAAGAACGGAAGTCTCTCTTCGAGATGCGATAGGCAAACCGTGTGTGAAATTAAATGTCACATCGGCTTATTACCATCTAAGTATACACGTGCAATGGTGCCCAAGTACACTGAGAATCGATAATTATTTTTATTTATGTAAAATCATGTAACGTGTATACTGTCGCTTTATTAGAGAATCAGTAGAATGCTACCAATATTCTGTCCCACGCTATTATTTTAATTATTATTAAATCCCAAATAAATTATGTCGTTTGAACACATGGCTGAGCATGTATGTAATTTTCCTTTGCCTCTACCAACGTTCCCGATGTGAAAATATTCTGTTTTATTATTAATAAATCAATATAATGAAATAAAACATTCAATGTTACCGTATACTATTTGAAAATAAATTACATACATAGAAATATATATACAAAGATAACGATTATATGAAAATTAAAAAATCCTTTCCCTCAATCACAAACAATATTGAAAATTCTACAAGCTGTAACTTCCGCAAAAATAACAGTAATGAGATAAGCCGAGAAGTATTTTATAGCTGAAAAACTCTAATTTTCAGATATATTGTTAAATATATATAAAGTTTAATTTATTTTTACAATTAGGAGTTACACTGCGTAAATGAGAATTCATAGATAAATGACATTTATGCCATTTAAAAGTCTGAATCTTCTTCTTTTTTAATTTATATCAACGCAAATTGCGGTGCAATTTTTTTTACCGAATTATTTAATGTTAAAGTAGAAATGATATTTTGACTTTAATTACTTACAGCAGGCGAGTAAAACAGTGTGCAATGTTCACTCGACAATGAATAAAAAGCTAAAAGTTCCCTTTTTAAAATACACCTATCATATTTTTAATAAAAATAACTTTTCAGTGTAAAGACTTCATTGAAAATTGCGGTCGAATTTGAGTATTCGCCATTTTTCATTTAACTCGATGTATTTTATCTATAAACGGTAATAAAGTTATGAATTTCATGTTTGAAAAGTAGAGATTGCAATTTTTAAAATGCTTTACGAATCACTTTGCTGTCGTCATTTTTGCGGAAATTATAGCCTGTTGAATTCTGTATGTTTTAATGTAAGGAAAAAATGCATGTGATCTACTTAAATGTATCACTACCTGTATCACTACTTGTTCTATCACTACCTCAAATCTATCACTACTCGACACGGTCGATGTGTACGGTGGCGGCTCGTAGCGGAGCTAAAAGTCGACAGAAATAACGGGTCTAATAATACTTTAGACCCGTTATTTTTGTTGACGTTGCATATGAAATTCATAACTTTATTACCGTTTATAGATAAAATACATCGAGTTAAATGAAAAATGGCGACTACTCAAATTCAATCGCAATTTTCAATCAAGTCTTTACACTGAAAAGTTATTTTTATTAAAAATATGATAGATGTATTTTAAAAAGGGAACTTTTAGCTTTTTATTCATTGCCGAATGAACATTATATATCATTTTGCTCGCCTACTGTAAATAATTAAAGTCAAAGTGCCATTTCTACTTTAATATTAAATAATTCGGTAAAAAAAAATCGCATCGCAATTTGCGTTGATGTAAATTAAAGGAGAAGATTCATACTTTCAAATGGCATAAATATCATTTATCTATGAATTCTCGTTTACGCAGTATAATTTAACAAACATGATCAAACATTTTAGCACTTGACGGATTTCGATTTATACTCATGCAACATGGCAAAAATTAATTACGCTTTATATTCAATAATATATTTGAAATGTAGAAACTTATATCTATAAAATGCTTCCGGAATCATTTCGTTACTGTTACTTTTGCGAAAGTTACAACTTGTTAAATTTTACAAACTTGTAACCGTAGGAAAACGTTCTTTTATGCTCACACTAGTCATATTTTATTTATTTATGTATTTATTTATTATATATATACTTGTTCTCTTTTATTAATATTTAAAGTAATTATTTCTAAAATTTTTCGTCACATCCTTTGTGCAAAATAAGCAGATATCGTTCCACTCCGAGTATTAAATATCGACATCTAGATGCTCCTTAGAATTCTTTTGCGCAATTTGTGCACACCAATGCAGTAAAAGTAGTGGTGAACTCATATAGCACGTGCAACGGCCATATTCCAACTGTCGTCGGCGCGAGTCCACTTGCCGCGCGGAGTACATGTGACATTTATCGGTGACAGATCAATCGCTAAATAAATCAGCTCTCAGGATGTCGTTCGGGAGCGGTTTCGGAGCGTCTACGTCGACGCCCGCACCTACCTTCGCTTTCGGCACAACACCAGCTTCAACGGCAACACCAGTGAAACCTGGTGAGTTGCGGAATAAAATCGCGAGTTTCTCTCTTATTCCGATTATTCTCACTGTTTTCGCACGAAAACTCCAATTTTGTTAATTAATACCGTAATGAATGCAGAAATATCGATGATAATTTATATTGTCGCTTCTATTATGCGTACTTCTGGTGTAACAACTTTGAGGTTATGAATGACACTGACGAGATCTTCTCAATTTTTCATCGAACTGGTCTTAGTGGTTGTATTTGAAGTCTTTTCTAAACCTAACAACGGCATGTTCACACCACTGCAACCCGGGCTGCACTCGATATCGCTCTTCGTGAAAAAAGAGTGCTTGCTCCTGGATCTTGCAATGATACACGCTGTAATGCAACATAAGAACAGTATGATCAAGAGCACACTCAGCAAGATCAGCAGCAACGTGGAGCGTCCTGTGTATCCATCAGATTTGTCAGTTTCTGTCGAGGTTAGCGTGGTCCCCACTGATAAACTGTAATTGTTAAGCATTGTGTGCAACTCTGTGGCTTTTCCACTAGGTGTTGTATCCTCCAGATAATACATTTCATTTGGAATCTTGCCAAGAGTTGTTATCATAATTTCTGCAGTTGCATCCTGCATAAATGTCACTGAATTAAATTGTTTGAAGGAGGATAATGAAATAAGATCGCAAGCATATCTGTAAAAAAAATTATTGTATCGTATACCCCAATTGCAGTGTCCGTAGTGCCAAATTCGTTTAAAATCTGAGTAGCAGAATCTTGCATTGATTTAACGTGACGGAAAAGGACTTTAGTACTAGGCAAGGAACCAGTCTTCGATGAATCCTGCGTCAACTGTGTGTAGAAGCTAGCCTATTAATGACTTTCAAATATCAATAAAGCCAAAGAACAGGCTCATTGCTTCTAAAGATATAATTTACTTTCATACAGCTCAATATTACCTGCAACTCTTTCTGTTGACTCAGAAATGTCATTTTGCAATTATCATGTAGCTATTAAATCTTAAAATTTCTATTGCAGCCTCAATAGATACTCCAAATGGTACAGTTTCTAAAATATCCCAATGTGTATCACGATCGCGTTAAAATACAAGCTATTACATTGAAAATCATTTCCCTAAAATGAGCAGTAAAACATATAATAGAAAACGTGCTTTACATTGACATGTTTCACCTAAGTTCATATTGTATAAAAAAAACAAAAGCCTCCTAAGCATGAGATATCTTAGTGATGAAATACATCATTTCAGGCAGTTCAGTTAAAAAGAACAGACCTGTTATAGTTTCTCAGTGGAGACCGCACTCTAGTTTAGATTGAAACTGGCGAATCCAATGAATACACGCTGTTATGTTGCATCACGACATGCATCATTACACTTTACTGCGACAATGCATCAATTCACTCTGAAATAAAAGTGGACCATTAATATGTCACGAATTTAACAGATTGTGAGAAGAGATTTGAATAATTTTAATGTTGCACTCAACGACGTATCGTCAAAGCAAAAAGTAAAAAATATATCGCGGTTTTCTCAGAATATTCTTATCAGCTGACCTTGCAGTTTCTCCTAACTAATTTGTTATGAATTTTCCATAAAAGTAGCGGGCTTTGGAACACCATCGTTCGGCTTCAGCACACCGACAACGTCGACACCGAGTCTGTTCGGCACGCCGTCGACTCAGACTACCGGCTTCGGCACTGGAACTGGATTCGGTAGTCCGGCAGCCACGGCATTCGGCAGCACGTCGGCCACAGGCTTTGGATCAGCGCCTACATTTGGCACCACGTCGACCAGTGCCTTCGGCTCAGCGCCAGCTTTCGGCAGCACTCCCGCTTCCTCGACGAGCACCGGCTTCGGAACAACGTCGACTTTCGGCAGCACGCCTGCTTCCACGACTGGCTTCGGTGGATTCGGCACCGCGACGACGACGCCGACGTTGAGTTTCGGCACTTTCGGCGGCTTTGGAACGTCCACGACCACCACGTCCGCTCCGAGTTTGTTTGGTAATTTCGGCACCACGAGCATCGCCTCGACGGGTTTCGGCTCGTCCACAGGATTCAATGCGTTCGGCGCCAAACCAATCACCACCAGCAACACCACTGGATTCGGTGGATTTGGGACAGGTAACAAAATAGATTGTTGTCTTATCGGTGCTTTTAGTGCGGTATTTCTCTTTATTTAATCTTTATTTATTTATTAATTTTATTTATTAATCTCTCTTTATTTATTAATTTTACTTAACTCATAGGAACGGGATTTGGTGGATTTGGCACTGGATTGGGACAGCCTCAGCAGCAGCAACAGCAGCAGCAGCAACCCGCGAACAGTGTATCAGAAGCTCTCTACAATGCTGTATTCAACTGTCAGCTATACAACGACGAACGAGACAATACTATCGCTAGATGGAATCTTCTTCAGGCGCTGTGGGGTACAGGAAAGGCTTACTATTCCGTAAACGCCCCGCCTATAGAACTTACTCAGGAGAATTCGTTATGTAGATTCAAAGCGATCGGCTACAGTCGCATACCTGACGCCGACAACAACGACGGTTTAGTGGTATTGTGTTTTGGTAAGAAGGAAAAGGACGTGCAAGACGGGAAGCAACAATTGATCGCCTTTCTGAGTGGTTTGCTGGGCAACAAGCCCAATCTGACGGTGACCGTCGATAATATCAAATCCACCGGCGAGAGTAAGAGCCAAGTGACGATATTCGTATCGGAGAAGGGAATCACCGGCTCGTACAGAAAGATCCCCGCCAACGAATTGGTCGCCTACTTGTCGCAGACCATGCAGAAGCAACAGTTGATGCAAAATGGCGTCGAAGACATATTTCCACTAGTGAAGCTCGATCCGTCGCAGCTAAAAGAGTATTTGGATAATCCGCCTTGCGCCATCGACGCCAGACTATGGAAGCAGGCGCAGTTGGACAATCCGAATCCGGAGCTGTACATCCCGGTTCCCATGATCGGTTTTCAACAGGTTAAACACAGACTGAAGTGCCAGGAAGAAGAGACCGCTAGACACAGGGCATTCTTGGACATGGCGGCGGAGAAGATACAGAGCCTGCAGAGACAACACACTGCTACGCAAGCCAGGCTGAAAGAGCACAGGCGCACGTTGTTGGAGCTTCAACATAGAGTTTTGCAGGTAGTGTTCGTTAATTGCGGCCACACGTGTGTCACATTTAAATGTAAAATGACGTAAATTCTATTTATAGGTGCTGGTCAGACAAGAGATCACGCGTAAAGTCGGATTATCCTTGCAACCGGAAGAAGAAGTCTTAACACGCAGGTTCGAAGCAATGCATTCGCAGATCAGTGCCCCGACACAATATAAGGGTAGAATCAGTGAAATGCTCTCTCAACTCAGAATGAGAAGGCACATCGACATTCAGAATCAGGAGAGATATACTATGGATCCTATAGCGCAAGACGATATCAAAACGGTAAGGCGAAATTATCCCTTTCACACGACTGTATTGGAGCAGTTACTAAGTCTGTTCTTTTTAGCTGAACTGCCTAAACTGGTACAATAAGTTAGAGCGAGACAAATATATTTTGTTTCACTCTAATTTATTGCAGCAGTTCAGGCAATTCGGCTAAAGAGAACAGATCTATTGAAATGGCGGATGTTCTTATATTATTCTTTATCTGTTTTAGTATCTAAGTATGGAGCAACAAGGTATGGCACAACTTATCGCAACGATAAATGCTGATCTAGAGAGCCTGAAAATCATTAAGGACGGTATGTCTGATTTATTAATGAGCCAAAGTATATCCTGAGGAACTGTAATGTATAAAGAAAAATGTAATAAAGTATTTTTATGTGCCTCTTGCATTCAAGTAAGGTAACACTTCGTATGTGATGGCAACTGGTAACAAGGTAACACTGGATGGTGTTGTGAATCATGTGTAAATGGTTTCCTCTCTATTTTTCAACGAGTTGTGCCATATTTATTACACTTACACACTGAATGTTGTTCTTACAATTCTTTTGTACTTGCATAACTATGAACATGTTCACAAATGAACAATTGAACTGATGGAATTTTTACATTAACTCCGATCTTGAGTTTTTATTGATTCTTGCCTTCTCCCTTTTTTATATTTGGTTTATCTCAATATTGGGTCATATATATATATATCTTAAATACACTTTAAAAATAAACTTATATGAATCTTATGGATCTGTAAAAAATTGCTATAAATATATGCATACGAAACGCATCGCATAGCGGGCAAAATAAACATTTATTGTGTAGATAAATAAAGGAATGATTTAATAGACATACAAAACCACAAAAGACATTGTTTTGCAGGACATCGTACAAAATAAATCTCTAAATAATGTGCGGTATCTATTCACTTTGAGTTGAATTAAAATTGGGACGTTCGACATTTCATACGTTACAAAAGATCTGTTTTCTATTTTTTCATACATATATACGACGACTCGGTGTTTTCAGAACCTGATCTTGAATGCATAAGCAAACGCTAAATACGCATTTCTAACTTCAACTTGTTACTCTCAGGGTGCGTTCGAGGAGCTCGCTATTAGCGCTATTCAGCACTACAGTGTCATTTTATCCTTGTATATCTCGGGCTGCGTTTGGGACGCTAGTTAGCGCTATGAGCGTCCTCTGTCTTTAATCAACTTTCAGGACAAACAACATTGGTTTTCATCAAACTTTCAGGACAAACAACATGTTGGTTTTCATCAACAAACAAGGACAGAGCATACTCATAGCGGTAAATAGCGTCTCGCCGAACGCAGCCCAAGGAGCGATACAGATAGAAGAACGTGGTAGTGTTGGTAGCGTGCTCTTCGAACGCATCCTCAAAGTAGATATTTAGCGTTCGCAGAATATGGACTTCATACCGGAATATACAAAAATTATTGAATTTTAAATAGCAAAATTACAAACAGCGATTAGATTCCTTATTTACAATTCTCATCATGTGCTAATGTATCAGATCCTTTACTGGCATTTTTCGTTGAAGATAGAGATTTATTGTGAACATCTTGACCTATAGTCATTTTTAATAATTTTAGGACAGACTTCTTATCCGTATTTTCATTCTCTATGAACAGAAATATGTCTCGTTAATTTTATCATAATCACAGCACAAGATATTCTTGTACTTTCTTACACACACATATATATATATATTTTTTTTTATATAATAAATTTATATGAATTCTATAGATTTGTAAATTTACCTTCGTTCCCAGTGATTTGTTTTTCGAGATGTAATTTTTCTTGAGCTATCTCGTACATACCTTCTTCTATCGTACCTTTACTCAACAGTCTAATTATAGTAACTGGTCTGTAAAAGAAGAATTCAGCGTCTATTTAATATATTCTTTTTAATCATGCGAGCGAGAAAACAACGATGTAGCAGAGGTATTACATTTCAAGTCGAAAATTAAATATACATAGATCTAGCAACAGTACATACTTTTTTTGACCGACTCGATGACACCGATCTTCCGCTTGTTTGTCATTGTACGGATTGAAGTCTATATCGTGAATTATGACCGTATCCGCGGCTGTTAAATTGATCCCCAAACCTCCGGCTCTTGTGGACAACAGGAATATGAATATACTTGAGTCTTGCGTATAATTATTGATCAAGGTTTGTCTGTCAGTTACAGGCGTGCTACCATCTAGCCTAATTTGAATATTCGGTTTATTATAGCTGAATCAAGATAAAAAGCGTGCGTCACAAAGTGACGTAGTTACGTACAAACCTTAAAAATGTATGTCCTCTAATAGTCAAGTATTCCTCGAGTATGTCCAACACCATAGTAAATTGGCTAAATATGAGTGGTCTGTGACCACCCTCTTTCAAACATGGCAGCATTTCGTCCAATTGTTTCAATTTGCCAGCTTGAGGAATAAGTTCCTGAGGCAAGCCGAATCCGGCCACGCTCTTGTATATTCGTGTCAATTGATTTATTTGATAATCAGACGCCCAGATCAATTCTTCGTACACGTAATTAGGATTTTTTTGTTTGTAACTCGATTCCTTCGCCAATCTGTTTGCTATGTTCTAATAATGCGTTGATGATATGATAAATAATAAAACGTATATAATAGTACGATCGAGAACTGAACTGTGAATGAAAAGTAGCATATCAACGTTCATACCTGAAGCTTCTCTTCATTATAATAATCACGCACTAGAAGAGGATGATTGGCGAGCTTCCTTAACTGCATCATCATGCCGGTTCCGTTTACATCTGTGATTTCGCTGGCCTCCGCTGAAAATTGCGCGATTAATTTTTCGTACATACTTTGCTGCTTCTCAGTCAATGCGCATCGTATTATTTCGTCCTTCTTATAGGGCAGATCGCGTAGAACTTCAGTTTTCAGTCGGCGAAGAACAAACGGACGCATAATCTCCTTCGCATTCTTAACTTGCTCTTTCTCGAATAACGATGGCTGCTCTCCATCCTTTTTATCGGCCGGTGTTTTCTAAAAATTTTCTCGTCTACAATGACCTACCAGATAACTTTTGATAACGATCCTAGCTCAACGACTTACGGGATTCTTAGAGAATAAGCTTTTTAGGTCGGCTTGTTTACCAGCAAACAACGAAGGCATTACGAATATTAACAGAGACATCAATTCCAATAAATTATTTTGTAGAGGAGTTCCAGTTAATAAAATGCGATGTTTAGCCTTCAAAAATAATCAGACTTGTTAATTATCAGGAAGCTTTTTTGTACAGAGATTGCTTAAAACTTGTTAGAAGATCGTTACAATGAACAACCTATATATGTATATGCATACACACGCGACAAGCACGTACATTAATTCTGACAAGATTTTCATATCTAATACTACTCATGTTTTTCAACATATGTGCTTCGTCAAAAACGACATAGTTAAGCGGCATAACACGAAATAGTCTACGTTCCTCCGGAGTGCTGCAGATCAAGCTATATGTAGTTAACAACACGTCGACATCGTCAAGATCACCGTTTCGCCAACCCATTCGCATCTCTTTCCGTTCGTCTTGAGAGCCGTAATATTGTACAACTTTCAAGCTAGGTGACCATCTCTCCCACTCGTTCCACCAATTTTCTATACCGAGAAAAAGACCTCTATAAATTTACCGTTGAAGGACGTAATCGTGTCAAGCGTGTTTACGTGTTGTAAGATGTAAGACATTACCTATCGTTGAACTGGGAACGACGATTAAGTGAGGGCCGTCCTGTTCATCGGTCAGACCAGCTTCCTTTAAATAAGTCAAAAAGGCTATCACCTGCACTGTTTTTCCTAGACCCATTTCATCGGCAAGTATACCGTTCACATTCTGTGCGTGCATAACGGCAAGCCAGTTCAAGCCGACCATTTGGTATGGGGCTAATGTTAAATTTGACGATAGAGTCTTTGGCTGCTGAGTTACAGTCGAAGCGCCAGCAGACACAGATTTCTCCATATTAGTAGACAAGCGTAGGCATTTTTTCATTAGGGTTTCCACCACATGACGCGTAGATAGCAATACCTTCACACACACAGTGAAAATACAGTCAGTAAAGAGCTTGACGCGAGAGATGAGTTATCATTGATTGTATGTATATTACATACATATATTCACATTTAATTAAATGTACCTGAGCTGCATTTAGCAATTCGGTATCTAAATATCTTGTACTTTGAAATTTATTTACTAAATCTTTCCAACCCTCAAATGGTCTTGCTTCTACAATGGCATTAGCTCTTTTTTGAGAACACTGTGACATGAGAAGCAACTCTGAGGACATGGCAGTTTGCATGAATTCCAAAACTGCCTTCTTGTCACCTGTGAGTTCATTGGATATTTCCACATCAGAATCCTCATCACTATAGAACAATAATATATGAAATTATTATTATTTTTATTGTGTGAGTCAACAAGAGTTATCACTCATTGATTGCATACCTATCGAATACTTTGTCTTTATAATCTCCTTCATCAGAGTCAACATCCACATCTTCTTCCATGTTCAATTTCCTTCTCTTTTTCTTCTTCTTAAGTTTTGGAGATTCCTTTGAGTTTCTCTTCTTATTATTTCTAAGTGTCTCTTCAGCCTCTTCAATATTCCAATTGGTACTAATAAGTACTTCCTGTATACGCTAAAAGTATATTCTAATTAAAATCAATATCTAAAAGGGATGAGAAAGACTTGCAAATGAGAATTATATCAATTAATGAAGCAAGTTGTTCAGACAATATGAACATTTCCTAACTAGAGAAAGAGGAATGATTCCTTTTTTCCTACTTTACTTACTTTTACTTACCAATGCATTATTTTGTGGATACAGCGTTGTCAGGTACTTCAATTTGTGCTCTTTACCTTTGGTATTAGTGTCTGAATTTGAGATTGTCGGTTTGGCTGGACTACCAATATCACTATCGCTGTCTTCAATGCGATTTACAGATTTGCGGCGTATTTGTACATCAGAACTTACCAAATTACTGTCGTCATCGGCTAAAAGCAAGTAATATAAACTGAATCTCATTAAAATACAAGAGACTATTTCATATTAGACTGTTCTTTGTAGCTGAATTGGCTGCACTAACTTATACTAGTTCTTTCTCTTTTTTACACTAAGTCATAGTTATATACCTGTTTCTTTTCAAGTTCCAAAAGTATTCAAGTTCAAAAGTGTATTGGTTCAACTACAAAGAACAGATCTATACTTATAAAATCAAAAGTGACATCGAAATTAAAGATGTCTTGTGATATTACGACTGCGAGCTTGCATAATGAATCTGATTTAACAAGGAGCTAAATGTAAACGGAATCATATTCAACTTCGAATCGAGCCGTGAGAATCATTTCCAAGTTCGCAATGAACTCACTCGCGCGGTATCTAACAACAAAGGAAGCGCACCGGTCATGTCGATTAGCGAGATGTTGTAGGCAATAATATAAAAAGCAACGCGACGGGAAGAGTTCTTACACATGTTCATCGCCTTCGTTTGTTTCTTTTGAAAGCGAAAGCGCCGCAGAAGGCTGGAGCTGCTCGTGTCTGTTTTAGGCGAATTCGATTCGGACATCGCGTCAGTCGGACGTAGGAACGAGGCGAAAATGCATTTTCGTGGAGGAACTTTTGAAGTAGTCTGACAGGTGCATTCGGAACAGTCGCGAGCGCTACGTCGGATTACGTAGAAAGAAGACCAGACCGTTACGTATCCGGTGGGACGATATTTTATGGCCGCTTTCCATAAACGAGAAAGCCGCATCCGGTAAGGTCCCAAGTCTAATGATAATTCTAACGAAAATGTCTAAATAAAGACGCGCGAAGGCGCGTTGTATGACTAAGTATGGTGCAGATACAACCGTTCGAACGATTGACCTTATTTTGCCGTATTAGGGCCAATTTTTCCAGGCACTCGATAAACTAACAATTAAATCATACGTCTGTCTTTGTTTTTCCTTTAGATCAGACAAAACTGACATATGATCTGACAGTTAGTTCACCAAAAGGTTGAAAAATTAATTTTTAGACGGCGGACGTATTTGAACGCTGATATGCCCTTTTTATTTTAAGTTTCGTTTTTTTATGCTAAGTTCATCTTGCTTACACTTTCGTGCTGAAAACATTCTATGTTCCTTCGGCATGCAACGAACGATAAAGATAGAATGATGCTTTCAGCACTAAGGCGTACAGAAAACGAACTCAATTTTGTAGCGTCCCGTATAAAGACGTTTTAGCTTGAGAATAAGAAAAGAAACGCTTGAATATCACATTTCGCGATTAGAGTTCGAGGATGCAAACCCTGATATTCCTACATTACAATGACACATCTATTGTAAACTAATAGATAAAAGAGGAATATCTTACAGCGATAGTCGCATTGTTAATGAGGCACTAACAAAAAACGAAGAGAAGTATCAGATCGGTTAGACGACAGTTTCCCGAAAAATGGAGGGGATAATGTTGGTACCAAGAGAAATCTCTACACGATATAATTTAAAGATCTGTTTTTTGTAACTGCACTGCTGAACTAATGCAAAAGATTAGAGTGAGAAAACTCATACTTGTCTCATTTCAATTGCACCAATTTAGCAGTGCAGTTACAAAGAACAGTTACAAAGAATCTTTAAATTATATCGTGTAGAGATTTTCTTTGGTACCAACATTATCTCCTCCACTTTTCGGGAAACTGTCGCCTAACCATCGGATCCTTATGAAAACTGCGCGTACTTCCGTGATCTGTCAGAAATTACAAGGAGACGCCGCTCTTGAGTGCGCGTTGTTCAAGGCGACGTCCCGCTCGCGCCACTTGTCGTCTGCTCCGTCCGTCACCGCCGCCGTTCCCTGCCGCGTTTATTTTGCATTACTCCGAGTCATCGTTGCGATCGCCGTGCGTGTCAGCGGAATGTTCGACGGTGGATAAAGAGCGAGGCGAGCGAGCAAGGATGTTGCTGTACACGCTGATCGGTGGCTACATGCTGACCTCGATGATATTGTTCAAATATCCTACCTTGCTGCACAAGAAAAAGAAAGTGAAGTTTCTGTGCCAGCACATTAGCCACCGGGGCGGTGAGTCCACCTTTTGTTTACCGTCGTGCCCTTCGCGCGTGATGTCATCCCCGCACGATGAATAATGTGACACCTTGTGCGCTTCACTCTCATTAACTTTCCTGTGTGCGAAATTTTAGGAGCGGGCGAGAGCTATGAGAACACGATGTGCGCATTTAGACGGTTAGTTGAGTCGGTTATTCGGATCTCGTACTCACGAGGTCTCGATCTATACTTGTGTGTTTACGTCCTGTGTGTTCCTTGCGAACGATCAGTACCACTAAGACGTAGAGATAAGGCTCGAAATAATGAGATCGAAAATGAGGTCAACTTGCAACTCGCAGAGCGGTGGCGATCGGGACTCAAATGTTGGAGCTGGACTGTCACCTCACGAGGGACGGCGAAGTGGTGGTCTCGCATGATCAGAATCTCATTCGCAGCACTGGCGTGGACAAGAACATCTCCGAGCTGGATTACAAGGATCTGCCGCTCTTGAAGCAACGCCTACCGATCGATTTCGATCCAGGTATTGTGACTTGTTGTTTTAAGAAAGCGTGATGTCTTTGAACGAAATTATTTAAGAACCGTAGTTGGGCAGATGTCGAGTATGTCGGTTCTGCGAGGGAGGAGGATCGGCAATTCGCGCTGCTACGAGAAGTCTTTGAGGCATTCCCTGATATTCCTATTAACATTGATATTAAAATCAACGATGATCGACTTATATCCAAAGTCTCCGATCTCATAAAAGAATACAAGAGGGAGGATTACACAGTCTGGGGAAACTTTAGTGATGAAGTCACACAGAAATGCTACAAAATGGTATGTCAACACATAAATATGTTGAGCTTTCCTGATAATTATAGAGGATGTAAAGATTATATAATAATTCAGGGCTGTCTGTACATAAATATGCAGACCGTTAACAGGATAAGTGTCCTAATGACTGAACTAACTAAGAAAGCATGATCAGTTTTATACTTTTATGAATAAATAATTAATTACCAACAAAACTGATGTTTATATAAAACTTTGGTTTGTCACTAATCAAAAAGTAGTAGGAAATAAAATCAATAAATATCAATTATAATTTTGATAAGATATATATTAGATAATATTGGTCGTACTATTGGAAAAATGAATAGTTTTAATTAGTAAATAATATAGACTCATTGATTAAGTGCTTGAATAATATTACAAATTGACATGAAGAAATATCTTTAAACAAGATTTTAGAGACTCTCTTTTTTTAGGAATATTAAATATAATGTTTCAATCATCTGGACACTGTTTAATTATCAGAACATTCATTTTATTTGTAAATTTTTAATATTGTTTTTGTCGTATATTTTGCAGAATCCAAGTGTGAACTTGCTATTTTCGATGCAACGTGTGACAATGTTAATATTTCTTATGTATACCGGTTTGTTGCCATTTGTACCATTGAAAGAAACCCACCTTGAAATCTTTTTACCTTCGATCTATTTGCGGTAATACAATTGAAATATTTCAATATTTTCTACAATTACTATGGGACTGGAGAGCATAATTCTCTGATGTACTTATTCTAGGCGTATGGGTGGCCCAAGTCCAACATTTTTACCATTGGAAAAATTAGTTGTACGTACAATTAATATTCTGCTAATGAGACCGTGCTTATTTAATCATTTAAGAGCACGAGGCATACATGTGAGTAAATTTTGAAATCTTGATTTTATCGTTATCATAAATTTCACTCCAACTTCCTAACTAACCATTGTCATGTCGTTGCACGTGTTTTTGTAGGTGTACTTTTGGGTCTTAAATAAAGATGAAGAGTTTAAGAAAGCATTCGAGCTGGGAGCAACTGGTGTGATGACAGATTATCCGACAAGATTGAAGTCATTTTTGAAGAATCAGGTGATGGAGTAAGATGCTGGTGATATTTTATTATTTTTAAGGATCCATCCTCAGCATCCATCACCGAGCAAGACGAAGTATTGAAGTAGTATTGAGGTTCGCAGAGTTAATTACGTACAAGAAAGAGATATCCGCCATGATATATGTCAGAACATATATGAGCTATACAGAACAGAGTAGTATATTTTTTATAAGCGAAGCAGAACTACTCGCTTATGTTCTGTGTATAAATGCCAATTTGAACGACTTTCACCATAATTATTTCGCCATAAGAAGTTCGTACAAATCGATTTTACTAGATTGCGTACGCAACGTCTTTGCACACTATAATTTGTTATATTAGCTTTATATTAATCACACAAGTATTCATACGAGCATCCATCCACGCGAAATGCTATTTTAACTCTGGCCTCTTAAATATATTATTATCAATTATTTACTTTCCTCCTTCAACTGATCAAAAAACATATCTCATGAGGCTTCTTATTTTCTGTTAAGTAATAATTGGTTCTATAAGTACATTAGTATATTAGTTGGCATATTTATTAGTTATTCTTCTAATCCTAACAATTACTTTATACATTCTTCAACGTAATTTAGATCTTGTCCATCAAAGAATATTTCCACAACTCTAGTGATATAAAATATCTGATAATATTAACTATTTAAAGAAGAGCTGAGATTTATTTATAGACTTTTATTCTAAACTTTCTTTTATTAATGTGATCTCTAAATACGACTAAATGCCAATCATGCTTATGTCACATTTAGACATTTTTATCGATAAAAGAGAGTTCAGCATAAAGACTGTAGTCTTAAATTTTGCATATCTTCTAATATTTTTTTATTTATAAGATGGACATATTTTCTTGTAACCCAAAGAGTTTTTTTTCATACAGCTTTTTTCTGCGTATTTTGTTGATGATAGAATCCTTCGAATTAATTTGCACATCCAAAGAAAGCCTGTATGCATATCCCAGTTTTTAGTACAAAATACCTTATTAATTACTATATCTCCCTGGGGCCAGTATGTTAGTTTAGCCCAGCATACGAAGGCTTCAAATAACATAGTCTGATCTTTGATGCATTTGTTAGATGATTTTTAACATTTTCATAGACCCACGAAAAATATATTTTATGTGGAAAGAGAGATAAATCGAGCTGTATCGAGCTGGTATCGAGAGAGAGAGAGAGAGAGAGAGAGAGAGAGAGAGAGAGAGGGGGAGGGAGAGAGAGAGAGAGAG